GTAGGTTTACCTCTACGTCTTGATTTACAATTTTGGCAAGTCAAATAACATATGGAACACTCATGCTTCCTCTTCTCGAACATTCTGCTTCCCAAACTTACAGATCAACACAGGGACTCAAGAGCTGATCCCCCATTGTGCCCCTAAGAGTCAGAGCCGGAGAGTCTGTGTGTGTGTCGTGCTTGAATCTGGATTTGATCAGAGGCTCAAGAAGTGAAGGTCCTCCCATTGAGAATCCATAATTCCCTGAACTTTCCAACTTATGGATAACATTTTTCCTCTCATCTTTTGTATGTTACCAACCACACCATTCCCAACATCACCTTCACGTGTATGTTTTCTTTTTACTGAGGCGCAACTGGCATACAACTTTATATTAGTCTCAGGTGTACAACAGAATAATTTGATATTTGTATATACTGTGGTTCAGTTAGCGTTCATCACCATACAGAATTACAGAATTCATTTTTCTTGTGATGAGAGCTTTTAAGATTTACTATCTTAGCAACTTTCAAATATGTGATACGGCATTCATTAACTACAGTCATTGTGCTCAGCAGGGAGTCTCCTTGGATTCTCTCTCCCCCCTCCTCTCCCCCCCCCCCTCGGTCTCTCTCACAAACAAGTAAATAAATCTTTAAAAGATAAGAGGTAATTTGGGTAATGTATACCATACGTAGTGCTTCGCATCTAGGAACCCCTTCTAAGTACAGTTGTTATTTCAATATCCTTCCCAGCACTGATCATAGTGCTAAGCACCGAACACCAAGTGGGGCTCAGTAATTCTCACCATCGACAGTGTTTATTCATTGCCTGTCAGGCTTTCTACCCTGAGTTAGATACCTGTGAAGTAAAGCTGTATAAGCTTTACTCCACTCTTGTAAATTCTGTCTCTTTCCTAACTGTGTCTCCAGAATCCTACCCAATGCCTGACACATTGTTGATTCCCAAAGTATTTGTGGAACTACACTTCTGAGTTTAAGATCCAGTGTGTGTTCATATGACTTTGAAAAGAAACAAAAACAAACATAACCACAAAAGTATGAAAGTTGGATGTGAGTTGGATTTTTTTTAATTCTTAAAAACAAAAAGAACACCTTATGTATATTTGACCTGTGTTTTTTCAATTTACTGAAAACTTTCAAGCATAGTTTTCATACCTACTTGTGGGGATGCATTAAAATTCCCACCTTGTTGACAATAAAACTTAGGATTGGGACGCCTGGGTGGCTCAGCAGTTGGGCGTCTGCCTTTGGCTCAGGGTGTGATCCTGGGGTCCTGGGATGAGTCCCACATTGGGCTCCCTTACAGGGAGCCTGCTTTTCCCTCTGCCTGTCTCTGCCTCTGTGTGTGTGTGTGTGTGTCTCATGAATAAATTTTTTAAAAAATCTTAAAAAAAATTTAGGGTCTGAGGGATAAAGTGATTTTGTGCCACAGTATAATGACAAGGGGCTTTAGTGGACTAGAAATTAGAACAGCTTCCATTTCAAAAACATAGTGGTTGACTTGGCTACCAGGGGGCAATCCCCATTCTCCTGCCCACATACTTTCATTCTAAGAGGAAAGTGAGGTCCTTTCTGAGTAATATATGAAAAGTCAGCAACTGTGTCAAAAAAGCCCCTGAACTGCAAGTCACCTCAGAGTGGTGAAGGGAGGAGAGGAAAACAAATTGTGGAAGGCTCTGGAGGAACACAAGTGACCTCACCTTGGGGATCCATATCTAGGGCCAGCTTCTAATTTACAAACACAGAGATATAAACTTTGTAAGTGCCTCATTGTGCTTTTTCTGGATAAAAATAGATATCAGATCCACCTTTACCTCTACTACACAGCCTTAAGGATAAAGTCCTAAAGTGAAAATTAAATCACCTAAAACACTCTCATGGTAACTTCCACAAAAGCCATTTATGCAGGCTCAGCTGTGAAGGTTTATCACAAAGTTAGGCTGATACCAGAAAACATCACTACTTGGATAAAAGGTAAAAGACAATCTAGCACAAGTGGCTCCTAAAATTGAAAACCTAACTCATTAAGCCTCTTAAAAGAGAAAAAAAAAAAAAAGAGGAAAGTCAGAAAAGGCAAAACCTAGTAGGAAAAATATATTCTTACTTCTAAGCAGAAGTAAGATAAAGGAGAAATTAGTTGGGTTCCTCACTTTAAAAATTTAAAGTCACTTGGCGATTTCCAGATAATATTCATCAGAAACCAACTGAAATGTAGCTGTGCATTCTATCTTCTTTCTGCTCATTTCCACATAAATGTAGGAGCACTACACAAGCTACTACAGGCTGAGGGGAACTGGGATTAAGATGTATACACCCTCTCTCTGCCATCAAGAACACAGAATCTATTGTGAGACTATACCAGAAACCTTGGGGTATGGACACATCCCACCACCCTTTTCCCTGGGAAGTGACCCATCCCAACCCTGACCCACATAGTCACAGCCCAAGTTGAGCCCTATTCGTAAAACTCGACTTCTGTCCATGAAAGGACAAGAGTCCGTTCTGAAGATTTTGGAAATGAAGGAAATAAGCAGACAGTCTCTTTGTTGGCCAGAACTCTATGTAACACACACACCTGGACATGCTCTACAGTCTGTGGAGGAGAGAAAGAAAATAAAACAGATGCATATTCTTATATTCTTATATAGTGCTGAAAAAGGAATATTATGGGTTTCTGGCACCTCCTGTCCCAGGGCAGACCATTCTGAAGCCCACCTGCTTCATCACCCTTGTACCTTTACAGTGAGCTAAAGTAGTTTCTGTTACTTGCAACCAAAGAGTCCTAATTAACTACAGAGGGAGTAAGACCACCATAAGTGTATCTGATACACAGCACAGCGCTAAGGAGGCAAACATTCTGAGTCATTTATCTGAACACATCTTGCACAGTAAAGGGGCAAAGACTTGTTGTAAAAGATGGCGATGTGAGTCCAGACTCTACCCTCTGCCACTCCCATGACCTTGAGTAAATCCATCTAGCCCAAGCTTAACACAGTGCCTAGCACAAAGAAGGTACTCAGCATATATGTGTAAGAAAAAGGAAGGCAGATAAACAGCCAACCACATATTAGGTGCACTTATCCCTTCAAGACATTTCTCATCAATATAAGGGGACTAACAGTGTCTACGCATCTCACAGGATCAGAATATATACAACCAGTGTATGGTTAAAAGTCATTAATAGGTTCAGACTGATGGACGAGCCAAATATAGACCTGCCTGAACTAATCAAAGAATATTTATGTATCTAAAGCAAGGGTTGGAAAACTGAATAGCCCACAGGCTAAACCCAGCCCACCACTTGTGTTTGTATGGTCCACAAGATAAGAACGGTTTTTACAAATGAACACTGCAATTTGATGGTAGGAAGCACTAACTTTGAGTCACAATTTAGCTAAATGTTATGTTCCCCCACAAAATAGAACACCATTTTTCTCCTTTGAAGAACTGCATTATAAATAAAATTCAATTATCATATTTTTAATTTTCTCAATGAGAAATCTGTGGAAATTTGTTTCTCTCTTGTTATAAAGTACCAACATACTATCATACATACCATACAAAAGGCAGTTTGCCTTTTGGCCCACAATTCCTAACATATTTACTATCTGGTTCTTTACAGAAAAAGTTTGTCAATTTTGATCAAAACAATGTACAAGAAAACTGACTCAGGGATATAACAATGAAATTATTCTTCTCATCAGCCCCATTAATTTTAGCCCCATTTGCAGAAACATGCATACTTTGCAATATAGCAGAAAAACCTGCAGTCACGTCTGAGTGAGTAAAGGTCACATCAGACCTTCCAGAGGCTTGGCTACTTCACAGCCAGCTTAAACAGGCCAGGCCAGTCTATGCACCTCTAGGCCAGGAACACATCATTAATCTTGACGGTATGTTTAGGGGGTACAATACAGGATCACTTACTCATGGTCACCCTCAGCCTCCCCAACTACCCACGGTCCAGGTTCATTCTTGAACCTAGACTTGCAAAGGGAGAACAAAGTTCATTACCCAGAAAATCTGAGTCCATTACAATATTCCTTCAGACCAGCCATTAAACCTACTATTAAAACTACTGTTCCACAAATAACAGCCATTAAACCTACTGCCATTAAACCTATTATTACCCAAAACAAAACGAGGTAACACATGCATAGCATTCGTCCTGAGTAAATCTTGGAAGTAAGTGATTATGCTCATCACAATTAATAACAATTGAAAAGTACAATATTATAAATAAAACAAGGTATTGAAAATGAATTTGTCACTAATTCAAAACGCCTGAAACAGATATATACTCAGGCAAAAGGAACAGACTTTATCCTAAAGAAGCTTTGAAAATAATGCTGTGAAGGCAAGAAAATAGTAAATCTGCAGCTCTACATTAGACAGATGTTAAGACAGATGTAAAAGTAGACTAGCACTACTTAAAACAGGGTATAGACCTTAAAACTATTCGGCGGCCTCTGAATCACCTTCATGGAAGCCTAAGCTCCCACAAGAACAGCGTTTGAAAACCACAAGAATTGACAACCAGGAGCTCATATAAATAGTCACTTAGGTTTGTGAGGATAAAATGAAATAAATAAAAAGTGTTTTTTACAGTGAATGATACTTAGTAAATGCTCAATAAATATCAGTTATTACCTTTTTTATGAAAAAGTTGTCTTCATACTGTATATATTGAAAATATAATTATTCATTCTAATTATATCTCTTAATTAGACTAAGTATTTTCCATATTATTACATATTCTTCACTGGCATATTTTTTAATTTAATGGGTCACATATGGCACTTAAGTTTTACTTTGAATCGGATTTATGTAGTAATTAGTAAACATAATTATTTTTGCATCTATTTGCTTATTTTTGTTTGTTTATTAAGGCATTTTTTTTTCATGATGTCTGCTCATGAGCCTTATTCAATAACCCAATGGGAATCTCCATGGTTTCTTAAAATGAACGTTGGTTCAAAGCAGAAGCAAGCTTACCTTCTGGGCTCCTTGTCTTAAGAATGTGCTGGCAAAAGTTTCCAAAATGCAGTTGAGAAAGCCAGCCCCTGTGATTGAAATCCTCCCTCTCTGAATGAACTCTGTCCTGTAAAAAATTTAAAAATTAAAAGATTTTTAAAAATCTTTGATGTCATTCTACGTTTTGGATATTTAAACTACAGAAATTTCCAACAGCATAATTACCACTTACAATCAACACAGAACAATATCTGTAACAATTCAATAATTGCCTATTATAACAAAAGTTTTGTTAAAAAGAGTTTATATAGTGGAACCCTGGGTGGCTCAGTGCTTTAGCACCTGTGTTGGGACCAGGGCATGATCCTGGAGTCCCAGGATCCAGTCCCACACCAGGCTCCCCGTATGGGGCCTGCTTCTCCCTCTGCCTGTATCTCTGCCACCCCACCCCCCCGTGTGTGTCTCTTATGAATAAATAAAATCTTTTTTTTAAAAAAAAGAGTTAAGATAAGCAATTATTTTACTCAAAGAATATTTGTTTCATGTTGCTAAAGTTCTGATCACACACAGAAATAATTGTAACTATGAGAGGTGATGGGTGTGTTAGCTAACCTTATTATGGTAATCATTTCATAATACCTACATATATAAAACCATGTTGTATACCTTAAACTTACAGTATGTTACATGTCAGTTATATCTCAATAAAGCTCAGGAGGAAAAAGTTCCACACACTGACTGGCTACTGTACACTAATCACCTCACCTAGTGCTAGAGACTCACAGAGGAGAAAAGTCTCTGCCTTCCAAGATCCCACTGACTCATGGGAAAGACAAATAGGCAAGTGGCTGAGTGTCACACCAGCAAAGAAAGGCAAAACCATTCCAATCAGGAAGACCACAAGGACTCAGGCAAGAGAACATGAAGAAACAGAGAATGTCTGAGAAGCCACAAATTATCTGAAAAAGCCCAAAACTGACTAAGGAGCTTAATAAATTCTGTTCATCAGAATGACCAGGGCATAAGGTGGGCATGAGAGATATTAGGAGAGGAAGAGACTAAAGAACAAATGGAGACCAGATTGCAAATTGTCTTCTCATGCTGAGAAGCTAAGACTTGATCCTGCAGGCAATGAGGACTCCCCGTCTGAGGCCACCAAGTCACAGGTACAAACAGTTACATGCACACCACTGACTAAATAGCTTGCCACCCTTTAATGCTTTTAGACAATCTCCTATTCCCCATTTGCAACAAACTCACTCAATGAGTTCAGCAAGCATTTGCTATGTGAATAAATTCATTAATATTACATTTCTTTACAACCAAAAGTGTTCAACAAAGAAAATATTTCCTCTATTTTCTTCTATCTCTATGGAAAAGAGACAGGAGCCATGTCTCCTGTATGTGTATTTGGGGGTTTGTGTGTGCATATATAGATATATCTATATAGATATATAGATATACAATATATAAGTACATTTCCTCACAGTAAGAAAGATATTTTGAGAAAATTATGGATCCAAAAAGCTGTGATTTTGGTAAAAAAATACTTATAACTCTTATTAGACTGATATGATAATTTCTGATTCTCTAATAGCAGTAGCCTCCACATTCAGATTGTGCATTCTGTAAAAGGAAGCCTTCAGCTCTCTTACACATACACACACATACACACACACACACACAGTTATCCTAGCCAATCTGACATAAATAGTCTAAGCAAATAGTCAGTCTAGGCAAAGCAGCTTCCACCTCTTAGATTTAAGCCTATTTAAAATGATTTGTTCATGTAAAACTATATCCTAGTGACACTAATCTTTCCTGTCTTTATTCCAGATTAGTCAGAGTAGAATTTTACAGTGATTTTAATATTTAAAAATGAAAAGTTGAGCAGTCTTACACTCCTGGGAGAGATAAACTCTTCAGTCCTCAAGGCAAGTGTAGGTGAGGGATTAATAAAAGTCTCTCTAACATCATATTCTAACCAATATTTCTTTCTGCTACTTTTGGGAGATGTAAGTGCTCAGAAAAGCATTCTCATGGTTTGCCCACATATCAGAGAATAACAAGGCAGTAAAGCAGGGTCATGCCCTTACCATCATTGAAATGAGTTTATCCTAGTATATTTTAAGACTGCTAGAGAAGGAAATGCTGCACTTTCCCTCAATAATTCATTGACAAAGCACATCATTTTCTTCTTACTATACATAGGCAACCTAAATCCCGCATCCTAGATAAGCGTTCTTTTAAGTTCCCTGGCAAAACATAGCAGGTTACAAAACAATATACAGTTTAATTTCAGCTCTGAGAGAGAGAGAAAGAGAGAGAGAGAGAGAGAGAGAGAGAGAGAGAGAGAGAGAGAGAGAGAGAAAGAAAGAAAGAAAGAAAGAAAGAAAGAAAGAAAGAAAGAAAGAAAGAAAGAAAGAAAGAAACGAACAGAGGTGAAATATGAAAAGAATCTCTGGACATTAGAATTATAGGTGATATTTTTTTAATCTTCTTCCTTTTACTAATTTTCTATAATATATACTACTTGGTAATCACCAAAAGTAATAATAATAAGGACCCAAGGATCATTTTTTTAAATAACTTTATTTTTTATTGGTGTTCAATTTACCAACATACAGAATAACACCCAGTTCTCATCCCGTCAAGTGTCCCCCTCAGTGCCCGTCACCCATTCACCCCCACCCCCGCCCTCCTCCCCTTCCACCACCCCTAGTTCATTTCCCAGAGTTAGGAGTCTTTATGTTCTGTCTCCCTTTCTGATATTTCCCACACATTTCTTTTTTTTTCCCCACACATTTCTTCTCCCTTCCCTTATATTCCCTTTCACTATTATTTATATTCCCCAAATGAATGAGAACATATAATGTTTGTCCTTCTCCGATTGAATTACTTCACTCAGCATAATACCCTCCACCAGTTCCATCCACGTTGAAGCAAATGGTGGGTATTTGTCGTTTCTAATGGCTGAGTAATATTCCATTGTATACATAAACCACATCTTCTGTATCCATTCATCTTTCAATGGACACCGGGGCTCCTTCCACAGTTTGGCTATTGTGGACATTGCTGCTAGAAACATTGGGGTACAGGTGTCCCGGTGTTTCACTGCATCTGTATCTTTGGGGTAAATCCCCAACAGTGCAATTGCTGGGTCGTAGGGCAGGTCTATTTTTAATTCTTTGAGGAACCTCCACACAGTTTTCCAGAGTGGCTGCAACAGTTCACATTTCCACCAGCAGTGCAAGAGGGTTCCCTTTTCTCCGCATCCTCTCCAACATTTGTGGTTTCCTGCCTTGTTAATTTTCCCCATTCTCACTGGTGTGAGGTGGTATCTCATTGTGGTTTTGATTTGTATTTCCCTGATAGCAAGTGATGCAGAGCATTTTCTCATGTGCATGTTGGCCATGTCTAGGTCTTCCTCTGTGAGATTTCTCTCCATGTCTTTTGCCCATTTCATGATTGGATTGTTTCTTTGGTGTTGAGTTTAATGAGTTCTTTATAGATTTTGGAAACTAGCCCTTTATCTGATACGTCATTTGCAAATATCTTCTCCCATTCTGTAGGTTGTCTTTTAGTTTTGTTGACTGTATCCTTTGCTGTGCAAAAGCTTCTTATCTTGATGAAGTCCCAATAGTTCATTTTTGCTTTTGTTTCTTTTGCCTTCGTGGATGTATCTTGCAAGAAGTTACTGTGGCCAAGTTCAAAAAGGGTGTTGCCTGTGTTCTCCTCTAGGATTTTGATGGAATCTTGTCTCACATTTAGATCTTTCATCCATTTTGAGTTTATCTTTGTGTATGGTGCAAGAGAGTGGTCTAGTTTCATTCTTCTGCATGTGGATGTCCAATTTTCCCAGCACCATTTATTGAAGAGACTGTCTTTCTTCCAGTGGATAGTCTTTCCTCCTTTATCGAGTATTAGTTGACCATAAAGTTCAGGGTCCACTTCTGGGTTCTCTATTCTGTTCCATTGATCTATGTGTCTGTTTTTGTGCCAGTACCACACTGTCTTGATGACCACAGCTTTGTAGTACAGCCTGAAATCTGGCATTGTGATGCCCCCAGATATGGTTTTCTTTTTTAAAATTCCCCTGGCTATTCGGGGTCTTTTCTGATTCCACACAAATCTTAAAATAATTTGTTCTCTCTGAAGAAAGCCCATGGTATTTTGATAGGGATTGCATTAAACGTGTAAATTGCCCTGGGTAACATTGACATTTTCACAATATTAATTCTGCCAATCCATGAGCATGGAATATTTTTCCATCTCTTTGTGTCTTCCTCAATTTCTTTCAGAAGTGTTCTATAGTTTTTAGGGTATAGATCCTTTACCTCTTTGGTTAGGTTTATTCCTAGGTATCTTATGCTTTTGGGTGCAATTGTAAATGGGATTGACTCCTTAATTTCTCTTTCTTCAGTCTCATTGTTAGTGTATAGAAATGCCATTGATTTCTGGGCATTGATTTTGTATCCCGCCATGCTACCAAATTGCTGTATGAGTTCTAGCAATCTTGGGATGGAGGCTTTTGGGTTTTCTATGTAGAGTATCATGTCATCGGCAAAGAGGGAGAGTTTGACTTCTTCTTTGCCAATTTGAATGCCTTTAATGTCTTTTTGTTGTCTGATTGCTGAGGCTAGGACTTCCAGTACTATGTTGAATAGCAGTGGTGAGAGTGGACATCCCTGTCTTTTTCCTGACCTTAGGGGAAAGGCTCCCAGTGCTTCCCCATTGAGAATGATATTTGCTGTGGGCTTTTCGTAGATGGCTTTTAAGATGTCGAGGAATGTTCCCTCTATCCCTACACTCTGAAGAGTTTTGATCAGGAATGGATGCTGTATTTTGTCAAATGCTTTCTCTGCATCTAATGAGAGGATCATATGGTTCTTGGTTTTTCTCTTGTTGATATGATGAATCACACTGATTGTTTTACAAGTGTTGAACCAGCCTTGTGTCCCGGGGATAAATCCTACTTGGTCATGGTGAATAATCTTCTTAATGTATTGTTGGATCCGATTGGCTAGTATCCTGTTGAGAATTTTTGCATCCATGTTCATCAGGGATATTGGTCTGTAATTCTCCTTTTTGGTGGGGTCTTTGTCTGGTTTTGGAATTAAGGTGATG